GTCACCCATTCTCAATGCCCAAAAGCATGCTGGTGCTTCAGCTGGCTCCGGCCTGAGTGCAAGCAGCATCCCGAAGGGGCGCGCGCGCCAGAACAGAAACCTGCGCTGTTTGCCCGCCCCCATGCTCCGGACGCACACATCAGCGTGAACGCGGCTGCTCCCTTGCAATGTTTCCTCTCTGGCCAGGTGTACGACCTGGCGCTGGGAGGGGGCATCGAGAAGGCCGAGGCCGCCGGGGCCGCAGACAAGGTCCGGGCGTCGGCTGAGGCGGCCGCGTGATGACGTCGCCGGCGGCGGCTTGCTGCATCGTACAGCAGCCCAACTCCTGTAACCGTCCAGGCCTGCCGGACGCCCTGTGTCTGTGACAGTTGTGTTGGTCGTTCACAGTCCTGAAAAGTCGACCTCAGTGATTGCAGTGCTCCTTGAAGGGGGTGGTCTGCAGGGTGCTGCTGGGCTGTGCATGGTCTTGCGCCAGGCTCTCCTGGGAAAACAAATCAGCGCCGGGGCAAGGGAGTATTGGGCAAATTGCGTACTCTTATCATATATATCGTGCTTCAGGGAAGGGCTGAACCCTGGGGGATTTCCAGTCAAGGGGTGTGAGAATGCCACGAGGGTACTCACACGCCGGCACCGAGCGGCAACAGTTGCTCCAGCTTGATCAGAATACCAAAGCCCGAAGCTCCGCGCGTTGCCTTGGACACACCTACAGCCTCAACGGCGTTCCTTGCCGATCTACCACAGTACTTGTTCAAATACACGGCGTCAACAGCCGCCCGAGCGGCTCAAAGACGCACAGCGTGAATCTTAGCGGCAGTTTCAAACTAGGCACTGTGCTGCTCAGCTGCGGGCGCAGCACTGGTCGGCGGGGCGGAGAGCGGTGCCTGCACAGGTCGAGCTGTTTGTCGCGACAGCTTGACGTCGAGCTAGTGGACGACCCTGCGGCAGGAAATCCAGTGTCTCTTGCAGGTGTGCATAGCAAGCAGGGCTCTGGGACGCCGCTGGGCCCCAGGTTCACCCATGAACTGCACTGACACGGCTGAGGGGGCGATGCTGGCACACAATATGGCATGGTGTGGCCAATGCTTGTGGTCATGCTGTTGCGGCCACCAGTGAACCGCACACCACTGTCAGCCTGCCCACGCTCCCAAACACTGTTTGCGCACAGCGGAACCAAGACCGCACCACAACGAGCTAAACGGCGCTGGGTGTCGCCAAGTGCATTGCGACTTTGAGAGCGCTGCCAACCGTCACGGCTGATCAGCAGCTGCTGCTTGGCAATCACAATGTGCTGCGGCACGCACCCCGCTGCGTACCACGATGTGAAGAAGCAGCGGTGCCATGAGCAGCGCAGCAGCGTACAGCGCCAGCAGGCAGGGCAGCAGCTGGCCTCCACGCCTACAACAGGACCAGCGCCTACGTAGGCGCTGGTCCTGCGTATACGCAGGAAGCAGGGCCCGCCTGTGCAAGAGCGACGCCGACCACCCAGACGGAGCGCACCAGGCATGAGCGCATGACCGACGCATGACGCGACCTCAGCTGCGGCAGGGTCAGAAGCCTGCGCTACCTCAGCCCTTTCGTTCATGGTCGTCAGCTCCGAGGACGGAGAGGGACTTGATCCTTCAATGGCGCGCAGAAGCAGCCAGCAGCAGCAGCACGTTGGCAGCATGTGCAGGGCGGTCGCCGGCCGGAGCAATTGGGTGCGCAGCAGGAGTGGGCGGCGGGGCAACGATTAGGGCGGCGGCAGCAGCAAATGGGTTGGTGGCAGCGGCGGGGGCGGCGCCAGGAGCCGAGCCAGCCGTGACATCAAGGCTGGTGAGGGCAGGGGCGGCACCTGTAGAAGAATTCGCAGGTGCGGCAGTGGCAGCGCCGGCAGCTGCAGCAGTGTCGGAAGCAGCACCAGCAGCAGGGTCAGCTGCGATCCCAGCGTGCTCAGGAATCAGCGAAACCCTTGCTAAACTGCAGGCCTCACAGGTGGGCAGAGGGGCGATATGGGTGGTGCTCCATCGGGCTGCGCGTTACAGCACCGAGGGGTTTTTCAACTCTGCTGCTCGCACCACTGTTTGCGATTGATATTGCTGCCTGCTGACCCATGCCATGTTTGCACGTTGACCGCCTTTTCGCAGGATCTGACCGTCGGCTTGCGTTTGCAGCTGTGTCACAGTCTCCAACAAGTTGCAGAGACGATATCTTCGCACCAGCAACAGCAGCGGCAGCGGCAACAGCAGCAGCAACAGCAGCGTCGTACGTAACATACATATGGAAGGACTAGGAGCAGCCGACGCCGTTGCGACAGCAGCAGGTAGGGGCAGCAGCGGACACGTGGAGAACGTTCTAGCAAAGGGCGGCAGCAGCAGGGCAAGGTGTTGCCCCGGCAGCTTCTGCCTGGCTTCCCGATGACCACGATCAGCTTGCAGTCCATGCGACATCTGCTGCAGCTCTTTGCGAAGGGGTGGCCCCTGCGAGCACCATCTGGCAGCCCATGGCTTGGGCCGTATCACGTGCGCAGGCCCTGCGCAAGGAGGAGCAGCAGCTGCAGCCCCTCAAGGACGGCTACTGGTTAATACAATGCGTCAGCAAACACCACGGCCTGAGCAAGCAGCTGGCAGCAGCCGTCATTGTACATTTGCGGGCGACGGCGAGGGCAGCGGTGGTTGTGCAGCAGAATGGCGCCATGTCCGCCGCATCCGAGGGCGCCGCTGCCGGGCTTGTGATCCCCAACTATTTCTCCGCCCGGACATTCCTGTTCATCACCCAGGTGTGCGAGGAGGCGCAGGGGCACCCGGGTGTCCAGGCGGCCAAGGACCCGACAAAAGCGGCGGCTGGCAGGGTAGGAGGCTTTCGCAAGCGTGCGCGCAGCTTTGTGGGTGTCCTGGGGTTAGTTGGTAGAGCAGCAGCAAGGGGGCTCGGGCACCTTTTAAACTTTCTGAGTGACCGCGTTGTTGAGGGCAAGTCTGATCTATGACACGCAGCACCCTGTTGGACGACTTGCATTCATAGACACCACACAGCAGTGGTTGTTCACACACGTCAGCAACCTGCCAGCCAGAATTCATTTTAACTCGTGTTTCCCTAGCGTAGATTTGATGCTTTGGACTGTGCCTTGTCTGTGCAGTGTGCAAAACTTCACACCCTCGTCCAAGGCCCGGTCGCTGTTGGGGGCCTGCGCGTGTCTGTGAGTGTCAACTCTGGGCTGCCCGCTTGGGAATACAAGGTGGTGCATCGTGACTCCCTGGCACGCGTGGTCTGCAGGGGGCTGTTGATGGGGTGTGAAGGAGGCTGTGCCACACCCTCAGACGCCCCACTATGACATGGGTACCCCTCTAGCAGGCTTTTCTGAGTTCAGCACAGAAAACCGCTTCCACAGCCCAGCTCATGCGCGCGCCCTCATGCGACTGCGTGCTGGCTCTGCCTCTTTCGCCACTTGTGCAACGCCGCCTGCAGGGCGGTCTGCGTGCCCGCTTTGTGGGCATGCTGCTCTGCATACTCCAGCCCGTGTTCCCTGCAGTGCCAATCCACTGATTTCCTACGCGCCACCACACGTTTGGCCCTGCTGATCAGCATAGTTCAAGCCTCTCAAGAACAGTAATTCAGCTTTCCACACTTTTTGAAGGGTCTGGATCCTGAACAGCCTCTCTCACGGAGTTGAAGCCCCGTTTTTGAACACAGGTGGCCTGCGACAGTGGGTATGGGGTGCCAGGCCACCATGGTCGCCAAAAGATGACGCGTCCCGCTGGCCACACCAGAGTCCACTGCCACCAGGACTTGTATGGGCTTCTGATTCCGCCTGATAAGTATTCCGATGAGCGACACGCGACTGGACACTTGAAATGGATTGTGTAGGTTTGCTCGTTGATGAGTCTAACAGCCGCCAGCGCGGGCGTTCGGTGTTTGATTGATTCTGGTACGCGCTCTCGCCAGGCGGGATACCGACACGGGACGAGTGGCCCAGCTGGTCGCGGCTCACCGAAGCCGCGACACGCAGGCATTTACATTATGCACGAAAAGTATGCACCGGCCGCACGGCGCATCTCCACAAAACAGTTGATCAAATATGATACAATTGCGAGTAAAGGGTGGCCCCGTTACGTGAACAGGTGCTTTGGCTCGATAACCAGACGCAGTGCGTAATGTCTTTCGCCATACTCAGCGTTCGGCGCTCGCTGGCTTCTTTGGCGGTATTATTTCTGCTGGTCAGCATGCTGGGCGGGGTGCTGTGCGCCAGGTGCGCAGGCACCTGAACTTGACGCCTGGGGGGTGCCACCAGGAGGGCCAGCCTCAAGACAGGAGCTACGCAGCCCCAGGCCACAAATGGCGCATACGAAAGACAATGGATAGGTCATGCTGCTGCACAGCAGCAGGCTCGGCCCCCGGACCATCGAAGCTTTCCCATTGATGTCAATTTTCTCATTGTGTGACGCCCAGACACACGCTGCGTAGTGATTGCAGGCGTTCCAGCCGGCTGGTGTTCCTTGCCAACCCAGCCATCGCGCGCAGACGTGCATGCCTCCACTTTGAGCTGTCTTCCCAGCCCATGCAGCAAACCACCCATTGGCGGTGGCACCTCTGAAGGTGTCGACCTCCTGCCGCTTGCTGCTGTTCTGTATGTGCGCTGCACGTGTGTCAGCAACAACCCACTCTCGTACTGACCCCTACCGTTGAACCCCGCTTTGCCCGGGGCGCTCCGCGCAGCCCTCAAGCAACCCCTCAAAAGACAAAGCTGGCGATAGTGAGTGCTGCCTGGGGGCCTTGCAACCCCCGGGATGTACGGCAGTATGTCTTGTGTATGCTGATGCTGTCAAGCACATGCAACCCTGTCGACGTCAAAATAAACCAGGGACAATGCCCACACATCCGATCGCCTGGCCCCCTTATGTCTGCCACGCGCAAGCCCAGAACCCTGCGATCAACAAGCAACCATGCTTTGTTTCACCGCACGTCCATCCGCGCAGTGCGCGCCCGTCAAAGCCTTGAACAGATGCTCCAGGGCCGGCCCAGCCCTCATGGACCAGCTGTGCAGCGCACTGCTGGCACCCGCCAACGCATCGGTTGACAGCAAGGTGCGCGCATGCGCGCCCATAGCATGGGCCCATGCACACAAGTGGCTGCTCCCATGCATTGCCAGGTGGCTGGTACCACCGGTGTACGTGGTTGTAGCATGCCGCACGCAGCGACGGCAAATCTGGTGCATGAAGACGCGCCTGTGAATTTATCACCAGCCGCTAGCAGCAACCTACACTCACACGACACATGGTCGAAGCGGTGTTCACTGCGAGGCATGTGTTTACAGCAGCTGTAGCTTTGAGAGCTGTGTCTCTTTTCTGTCACCACCCCTCACCTTGCCCCTATCTGTGCACGCTCGCTTTGGTTGCCATGCGATGCACCACCTTCCCAGGACCCCACCACGCTGCAGTATGGCTGCGGCGTAGCCACAGTCTCCCAGGTCAACAAAGTGTCCAGTGATCTGGCAGCCCTCGAGCCCAAGCTCAACGCCGTCGCCGCCCAGGCCAGCTCTGTGTCGTCTGCACAGGCCGCAAACAACCAGACCGCGGTGCTGCGTGCCGAGATGGATGTACTCCGTGCGGCGATCGCGGCGTTCACAGCCAGCTCTCAGGCCGCGGTTGCGGCGCTCACGGCCCAAGTGCAGCAGCTGAAGGCCAACGCGACCAATGCCACCGACCCAGCCATCGCTCAGCAGATCGCCGCCCTTGCAGCAGCAGACACGCGCACCGCCCAGAAGCTGGCCTCGCTGGATGCGGCAGACCAGACCGCAGCCCAGGGGATTGCGGCGCTCAACGCCACCCTGGCAGCCGTCAAATCGGCCCAGGAGGCGGACGCGGCGGCAATCTCCCTGGCCAACGCCACCGTGGAGTCCGTCAAGTCCACAGCCACCAGAGGGGCGGCGGCCATCGCGTCGGTCAACGCCAGCCTGACCGGCCTGGCAGCCACTGTGACCAACGTGTCTGGTATCGACTTGAGCATCTACGCAAAAACCGCCGACCTGGCCAACCTCGACGCGGTCACACTGGGGGGCGTTCCTGCGGCGCAATACCTGCGCTTAAGGGTGATGCTCTACCGAGAGTCTGATACTCTCAGGGACGGAAGCCTTGGCGGCCGACCTGGCGGCCGATCTGGCGCTGATGCCCTGTGCCGCGCCTCGGCGCTCCGGCCCGCCGGGCTCGCGCAGGTGCGTGCGTTCCTTTCGATATCTTCAGCCGACCAGATTTCGAATTTCCCCACCTTGTACAACGTTCCCAACGGCCCGCCTGTTGAGTCTGTGAGCGGCGGCGTCCTGGCCAGCAACTTCACAACCCTGCTTGGGGGTAGCATCGGGCAGTCTCTCGTCCAGGCGGGCGTGTTGACATATGACGCTCCCTGGTGGTCGGGCTCTGATGCTTTGGGCAATTTTGGCTCCGCTTGCTCGGGTTTCACTGTTATATTTCCTGATCAAACTGGCAATGTCGGGCGGACGTCTGAGACCAACAGCAATTGGTTAAATAATCGCGCTATGCCTTGCGGGCTCTCGGCGATTTTGATGTGCATCGCCTTTTGATGTCGCAACAGCTGCACGGCACCCAGGCTGCAGGGGCGGCTTGCTATGTTCGCGTGTAGTGTGCGCACATGCACACCACCCCGCAAGCTTGTTGAACTGGGTCGGCCTCGCTTGTGCACACATACATGTGCGTCGCATAGACACATTGTCGCGCCCGGCCAGCGCCCCTGGGCAGCGGGCGCCCGGCTCGGGCGGCGCGGCGGGCTCGTGTGCCGCGGATCGGCTGGGTCGCGCGTTGCGGGTGGCAAGCAGGTCACTGGCGGGGGATGACGCCTGCTGGGATCACTGGCAGCTGGTGATGTGTGTGTGTGTGTGTGTGTGTGTGTGCAATTGGATCGGTGCTGGCGTGCTCTTCGAAGTGTCCTTTGACTCAGCTAGTATGGCGTGCTGTGCACAATGTAATCCTATGCGACCATGTGCAGCTTGCTGGCTTGGCTGGCCAGCCAAACCCTTGCTCATTCCTAGTCTGTGCTTCGCCCTGGTGGCGACACTGCTGAACAGCAACAGAACGAGGCCGTTACTTCTCAAACATCAGATTGATGTCAAAGCCAAGACCCGCACCCCGGCTGGACCAAAAGCAGGGCAAGAATGGATGGGCAAGGGGCACCTGCCCCCTGGCAGCTTCCGCTGCCAACGGGGGCGTGGGAGGCGACGGTGAAGGGGCCCCCACTGTGCGTGACAAACACGTGCAACCCCAGTGCATGGACACCCCACTGCACGCGCAGCTGCCATCCATGGAGGTGGAGCTCATCAGTCACGGCCCTCCGCCACCGCCGCCACGCTTGAGGCCATGCCGTCCACCACGCACCGCCACCTCCCCAGCCGCACACGTGCGCCGCAGCCGCCGGGAGCTCGTCCCAACAAAGCGGTGGCACCTCTCAGCCCCCTCCGTCCCCGCCTCGGCGGCCCTGCACACTGCATAAATCCCGGCCGCCGGCGGCCCCAGCACGTCGGCCGCGCGCTCAACCTCGGAAAACGAGCGCGTGGCCGCCTCGGACGCGGCAGGGCTATCTGAGGTCAGGTGAGGTCAGGGGGCGCGATCTCGAGTAGTCCGAGGGTCTGCAGCTGGTGGGCAATCGCAGGCTGCCTTGGGCCCGCCGCATCGCGCTCCCTCTCATCATCCCTGCCGCTCGAGCTGGTGCGACGGCTTGCAGGCAGCGCGTTGGCAACGCCACGGGCAGCACGGCCGCTGCTGCCGGGCACTGAAGTCATCTTTGCCTCCTCCTCCAACACGGGCTGCTGCTGCTGCTGCTGCTGCTGCTGCTGCTGCCACGGTGCCGCGCCTCCAACTGTGTCGCTCCCCACCACACGCGGCTGCGGCTCCGCTGGCCGCAGCCACTCCTTCTGCCGCACCTCGTCCGCGGCAATGGCGCCTAATACCGCCAGGGCCTCCTCACCGCCGGTGAGAAGCGCGCTGCTGGCCGCAGCGCGCGCCCGTGAACGATGCCTCATTTGCACGTTGTGGCCGGAATCCTGCAGGCTCGACATTACGACGTCCAGCGCCACTGTTGCGCCTGGGCCGGGCCTCGCCATACGCCGGGAAGCTGTGTCGGCGCAGCCTGCGAGGTCCTTGGAAGCCCAGAGGCCCGCCGCGATCCCGTGTGATTTTATTGATGTTGCTGAGGAAGCGCGGCCCCCAGGTGTGGCCGTCCACCTCCACCTGCACGCTGACGGCCAGGGGTAAGGGGCTGTTGGGGAACCAGGTGTCGATGAGGCACTTGGGGACTGGGAAGCCTTGCAGGCACCCCTCGGCATTCATCCTGAAAGTCGTGGCCTGGGTGTTGGTGGGTGGTTGGGAGGGCGGCCGAGTGCAGGGGGCAACCTGAAGAGCGGGGGAAGCAAGCCGGTGAGCAACAGTGATGTGTTTTTCTGTGTGAGCGCATGCGAATGAGCTGTTGGGCAGGACTTGCTGGCTACCCATCGAAAGCCCCTCACCGTCGGCCAGAGGCTGCCAACGCTGCTGCGCCCGCAGCAACGCCGATGGGGCGCGCGGGCGCCTCCACAGCGCCGCCGCCATCGCGCACCCCCGCCACCGCCGCTATCTTCAACATTGCCGTCCCCGCCGTTCTTGTCCCTGCTGCTGCTTGAAGGGTCGCCCCCGTCCTCTGTGGCGCCCCATGCCCCTGAGTATTCGTCATCGCTGCCGTCACCACGCCCGCCGCGCCTGCCACCGCTGGTGTCCCCAGAGCGAAGCTGCTGCTGCTGCCGCCGCGCCGCGACGCCGCCTTCGGGGGCCACCATGGCCGCCGCGCGTCCGCCGCGCTGCGGCGCCGCTCGGGTGCGGCGCCGCTTCGTGCAAAGGTGCCGAGGTCCCACCGGCGTTTGGTGGCGCGGCGTGGCCGTCCGAGGTCAGGGGCGGCGCGATCTCGAGCAGTCCGAGGGACGACAGCCGGTGAGCAACCTCGGGCTGCCTCTGGCCTGCCGTGCCGCACCGTTGCACCTCCTAACCGCCTAGCGCCCCGCTGGAGCTGGTGTAACGGCTGACAGCCGGCACGGTGGCAACGCCGCGGGCGGCGCGGCCGCTGCTGCCGGGCGCTGAAGTCATCTCTGCCTCCTCCTCTAGGACGCGCTGCGGCTGCTGCTGCCGCTGCTGCTGCTGCCGCTGCCGCTGCTGCTGCTGCTGCCGCTGCTGCTGCCGCTGCCGCTGCTGCTGCTGCCGCTGCCGCTGCTGCTGCTGCCGCTGCTACTACTGCCGCTGCGGCTGCCGCTGCGGCTGGTGCTGCTGCTGCTGCTGTCGCACGCGCCCAACCATGCCGCTCTCCACCACCCGCAGCTGCGGCTCCGCCCCTCCTGCCCTCCCTCTATCCCTCCGCCGGCGCCCATCACAGCCGCGGCTCGCTCGCTGTTGGTGAGAAACGCGCGGCTGGCCGCAGCGCGCGCCGCTCTCACTCGCGCGAAATGCCCAGGATCCTGGAGGCTCGTCATGACAACATCCAGCGCAGCCAGCGCGCCCGGGCCTGGCCTGCCCATGAGCCGGAAGGTTGTGGCGGCGCAGCCGGCGAGCGCCTTGAAAGCTCCGAAGCCCTCCCTGGCGCGGCGCGAGGCATTGATGTTGCTGAGGAGGCGCGGCCCCCAGGCGTGGCCGTCCACCTCCAGCTGCAGGCTGACGTCCAGGGGTAAGGGGCTGCCGGGAAACCAGGCGCTGACGAGGCTCAGTGGGACTCCAAAGCCTTCCATGTGCCTTTTCGCATCCAACAGACGAGTCAAAAAAGTGGGTTTGTGTGTGGGTAGGAGGGCGGCCGAGTTGAGGAGGAGGGCCGACGAGGGGTTGAATGTCAGTGATGTTTGCGTGCTATTCAGGTGCATGCGTGAGTATGGATGAGCTCAAACCGCAGGCCCCCCAATTGGAGACCCTCACCGTGGGCCACAGGCAGGCTGCCGATGCTGGCTGTGCCAGCAGCAGCACCATCACCCCCGTTGCGCCGCCTACCGCCGCTGCCTGCCTCATCAGTGTCGCTGCTGCTGACCTCGCTGATGCTGCGGGTCGACCGGTCGTCTCCAAGCTCTGTGCCGCCAGAAGCGCCTGAGGACTCGTCATAGCTGCCAACACCACCGCCGCCGGCCCTGCACCCGCTGGTGTTCCAATAACAAAGGGGCTGCTGCTGCCGCGCCGCGGCGCCGCCCTGGGGGCCGCCGCGTTTGCAGCGCGTCCGCCACGCCGCGGCGCCGCGCGCGCGGCAACGTATGCGAGGGTGGGGGCGTTATGACGGCGTCTGGGGGCGCGGCAACGGCGGCAGCAGGTTGCCCGCTGCCATGTTAATCCTGATCTGCGAGCCCTGCAGCAAGGGCTGCAAACTGCCAACCCTTGCCTGCTTGGAGGAGGGCGCTTCCCTGTCATCGGTCGCCGCCGCCGCCGCCCCCGCCGCGCCGCCCCCGCCGCGCCGCGCGTGCCGGCCCCTAGGTGCAGGCGGCGGCCCCGCGCAGACGGGCGCAGACGGCGCCGCCTGGCCGGGCTGCGGCCCGCGGGCCAGCCAGAGCGCCGGCGTCCGCCGGGGGCGGCTGGCTGAAGCCGACGCCTTGTGTGGTGCGTGGCAGGCGGGGCGCGATCGGCTCGGTGTTGCCATGCTCGTGCTTGCGCAAGCCGGCGCTCGGCCGCCACCCGGCCATTTTTAGGAGGCCGCCGCCGCCGCCGCCGCCGCCGCCACCCGCTCAGCCGCCGCCGTCATCGCGGCCGTCGGTGGCTTGTGCGGCTGCAGGGGCAAAGCGGGGCGCCTGGGCCGCGGGCGGCTATTGGAGCCGCCTCTGTTTGGGCGGTTGAGGTTGATGAGCGCCGTCCGCAACGCCCCAGCCCTTGCGCTTTGCCAGGGCGGCACGTCAAAGTGGAGGGTGTCGCCCTTGATGAAGCTGTGGAGGCGTCGAGGGGGTCGTTGGATGCGTGGTGAGGGTGGCAGCACCTGCATGCACAGCGCGGCCGGCAGGCGCTGCGGATCCTGTGTTTGCGCAAGGCGTGCATGTGCACCACCAGCAACAAGTCGCACGCCAAAGCGCGCCTGAGGCGTCTGCTATCGACAGCATCCACGGCGTTATGCATGATTATGTGCGCACGCGTGCGTTTCAGTGTTGTGTACGCACCCCTGCCGTGGTTGCCGACCAGATCCCCGAGCAGCCATAAATCGACGAGAGCAACACGCTGAAGAAATTCGAGGATTCGTGCTGAGACTGACAGTGTTTCCCAGATTAATAGCTCGCCTGCTCTCTGCTGTGTCCATCCTGCAAGTAGTCATGGCTGGCAGCTACAGGCTGGTGTGGGTCATGTCTGGTGAGGTACAGTACAAGCTCAGCGCTGCTGCGTTGCCTGCATGCCTGGATTTGCCTCTGCAGCGATGGCGCATCAAATTGAGGATGTTCCTGCAATTCCCTGCTGCTGCTGGATCTTTGGTGCAACATGCTACCGTAGAAGAACTTGCAAGCTGGGTGACACTGCGCTGCACGCGGCGCACTCCGCGGAGCCGGCGGCCAACCTATCACAACACATGTTATCAGTCACGACGGAATTCTGTATATATGTTATCGAAGGGGCGATTTCGAGCGAAATCCAGGAATCAGCATCATGGACGTGCTGTCTGCCCTGCGCAGCTCATGTGCTTCAAATATTTGTTGACAGACGGGTGCCACCCAAGCACACTGGTATGTTGATCAGTGCCGTGAAATTGCTGGCATATTTATCGCATTTTTGAAGATATCGTGTGGTCACAACCCACGATGCCGCCCAGATCGTTGCCAAGGTAGCCTCCTCGCAGAGAGTTGCACAGTGGCTACGATGTCACTCACAGACGTAGGGCCTGAGCCTGATGTTACTGGGGATCAGGAGCGGGCGTGGGCGATGGCCTTCTCGCCACCCAAAGGCTCTCTGCTACAGGAGGCCTCGGAAAAGGATGCAGAGGGTGTCACGACACGGCTGAGGGTGCAACAATTTGCAGAGGTCAGTGTCTAGTTATTAATGGCCGTCGTGTTTGACAACTGCACGCTCACCAGCACCGGCACCGCCAACATCCACCTGATGCGCTACCGCTTTGTGCAAATGCCTGCCTGCACTGAGCTCCCTACCTCCACCTGCGCAGCGCCCAGTGCTTGACTATGGGAGGGTGGAGGTCGGCACCTTCAAAACCCTGTATCTGGAGCTCGAAAATGTCACCGCAGCCGCTCAGGTGCGCTGCAGCTGCGGCTTCGACCTCTTCTTCTCATGCCGCCCTGTGTATCCTGCAGCGCTGCCGCCCACAGCCACTGCCTGTGCCGTACTCCGCAGCAGCACTGGAAAGCACAGCGACACAACCAGGTCAGCAGCATCTGGGGCAGATGTAGTGAATGTGGTGCAGATTGGGCCGCTTGTCAGCAGCGAGACCCAGGCGCCAGCGCAGCCGACCCTGCTCACGGCACGATGACTGCGCCACCCCGTTGCCCAAAGGAGCTTGCGGCGCACAAGGTGCCTGTCTCCGAGGGCTTCCTCATCGGGGACGACCCTGCCCTCACGCCGGCGGCCAACCTGCAGTGGTCCGCCAACCTGGAGCCGGGCAGCACGCTGCTGCTGCCCGTCACCTTCGCGCCGCCCCGCGCCGCAGCGGCCGCCCAGACGCTCGCGCTGCGGCTCGACGGCCGCCACGTGCTGCAGGTGCGGCTGGTGGGCTCCGGCACCGCCCCGGCGGCGGCGGGGCGCGCCACTAAGCCGCGGGCGCCGGGCTTCGCGGCCACGCCAGGCGTCGCTGGCAGGGCGGCCGCCTCAAGGCCTGATGTGCTGCGGGAGTCGAATCGGCCGCTGAGCAGCGCCTCAGAGCAGCAGGGCTTCAAGGTGCCCGCCAGCCGCCCGAGGAGCGCGGCATCGGCCACGCAAACGCCTCGTGGCGCCGCCGCCGCTCCCGGTCCCGCGGTGGCCATGCGCCCGGGCCCGCCTGCGCGCGCCCCGCCCGGCGCGCGCGGCGCGCCGCCAGCGTCACTGCGGCTGAAGCGCGCGCCGGAGAGCGCCACCAGCGCTCAGGGCCCGTCCGACCAGCAGGCATCGGAAGACCAGCAGCTAGTGCCGGCGCCGCGCCGCGTGCCGTCGGGATCGCTGCCGCCGCCGCAGACGCCGCGCTCCCAAATCATCAGGGCGCGCGCCGAGCCGGTTGCCGCCTCGCCGGCGCCATCGGCGACGCCGCGTGGGGCCATGGCGACGCCGCGCGGCGTCGGGGCGCTGCGCGCGTCGACGTCGCTGCCGCGGGATGGCCTCAAGGCGATTCGGACGTCCGTGGCGCCGTCCGTCAATGGCGGCGGCAGCAGCCGCAGCGCGCGTGGGTCGCCGGGCGGCAGCGCGGGGCCGGCGTCGGGCGGGGGTGGGTCCAGCAGGAAGGCGAAGAAGACATTCAGCTACTTCCATACAGAGTGGGTTTGGGGATTTCAGGTTGGGGTTCGGGCGCGCTGAGGGGCGGGCTGGTAGTGGGGTGTGTCAGTGTTGTTCTGCGTGGCGAAACGGAGGGCGGCAGGCTGGTCATACGTGTGTTGGAGACCCCCAAGTCGTCATAGAAAACGCACCGCAGCTGCTGTTCTGCGCTCACAAATTCCTCGAGCTTACCTTCTTGGAGGGTAAACCACCGACCACGCCGTCGCGCGCGCGCGCACACACACACACACACACACACACACACACACACACACACACACACACACACTCACACACACACAAACACACGTGCGCACGTCCGCCTGCGCCCCAGGCTGTGGATGCAGAAGCAGGACAAGGCCTTCTCGGCCTGGCTCAACCACCTGCTAGCCCCAGCCATCCAGGACGGCGCGGCGGCAGGCGGCGGCGGCGGCGGCGTGGCAGATGGCGACGGTGCGGGCGCGCTGGATGACTTGCGGCTGGCGGCGCGGATGCGGGGCGCGCTGGTGTCGTGCTACAGGTGGGGGGCGCGGCGCGGCAGGGTGTCGCGCTACAGGCGCGCCGTGCGCCCAGGAGCGGCGCCCGGTTTGCCTCCCGGCGGTGGCTGGATTGTGATTGTGATGGCGGGAGACGGGCACGCTTCCCGGCGGCCTCGGCATGCCTGTGTACCCTTCCCCGCTCCCCCCCCTTCGCCCGGCCTTGCCTTGCAAAGCAAGTTGCCGACCTGCTTGGTCGCCATGAGCGCCTTTTCCACTTGAGCTCGCGGCAAAGACCTGGCCGCATCCGGCGCAAAGCACACGCATCTCCCCCGCCCTCCGCTGCTGGCGCCCCCCAACCTGCCTTCTTCTTCAAAGCGCTTCCTGCCGACACGCGCGGCGACCCGCTTGCTGCTGTCAAAACGCATGCCTTGCTCTGCCCGAGACCCCTGTGCCTGCAAACCCCAACCCCTTTTGTCAAGGCGCGACGAGGGCCTGCGTGACGCCATGATGCGCGTGGAGGCCCGCGTTGACCAGGGGCAGCTGCGGCTGCGGGACGAGGTGGGCGGCGCTGGGATTGGAGAATCAAGACGGGACGAGCGGGCTGCTTGAAATGGTGTTCTAGGCAAATTGCTGCCATATCACATGCACGCCGCCATTGCCGAGCGTTGAGGAGGCCCATTTGCAGCCGGCTGCTCGGCACCGACTGAAGGGTTTCCAACACCCATTGGTGGCCGCCGCCACCGCCCGCGCAGGCGCTGCAGATGAGCGACGTTGCGGCGCGCGACAAGGCGGTCGGGGTGCTCATGAGCTACCACCCCTTCTGGCTGCGGCTGGGGCTGGAGGTCGTGACGCAGCGCGCGGTCGGGGCCGGCGGCGGAGGCAACGACGGCTTGGAGGGGCCTGGTGAGCGGGCGCAGAGCGCAGAACTCCAGGCGCCCGAGCCGCCACCTAGCTGCGTCCGGAGCACGACGTTTGCACATACGAGTTTGCTGCTCGATGTTTTTCGGTGTGGTGAGGGCGGACGGGGGCGGGGGCCGTGACGGAGTGACCCGCGCCCCCGCGCCGCAGGCGGGCGCTCGCCGCTGCAGCAAGCGCGTGGGCCCGAGGAGGAGCTGCGGTGCTTTGTAGTGGAGCACTTCCTGGGTGACGAGGACCTGGCGCGAGAGAGCGGCGCGGCGCGCGGCGCGGCGCACTACGACACCGCGGAGTACTGGGTGAGCGCGGCGCGGCGGCCTTGTCGCCTGGGGCCGCCCCCTGGGCACAGCCAGTGTGGGCTGGTGCGGCGGCTGGCCGCCGGGTCCTGGCCATCGTGCGGCAACGGCTCCCAAGCCCCTGCCATCCCACAACGCGCCGCTGCGCGTACGCCTGCGTCGGCGCTCGGAGCCTGCCCACAAACGCCTCGCCTCGCGCCGTTCTGCCTGGATTCACCAACGCTGGACAGCCCTTGCAGCCCTTATGGTCCCCTCACCTCTAGCCTCCTTGCATACCCCCTAACGCATCCCCTCAAACGCCCACCCCCTAAACGCATCCCCCCTCAACCCCCACCACCACTGCCTTCTCCGGCCCCCTTTTCCAGCGTGACCTGGGGGAGCTCATCGTGAAGCGCTTCCTGCTGCTGGCCCTGCTGCTGGACCGCGTCGCGGGCGCCGCCGCCGCCGCGCGCGCGCCGGTGCCGCTGCTCTTCCGCGTGGACGCGCCCATCAAGAGCACCGGCGAGGCGCGTCCCTCCGCTGCCCGCTCGCGCATCGCCGTACACAGTGCCCGTCCGCCTTCTTTCGTGTGCCTGAATGCTGTGTCATCATCTAACGGTGACCCGGCGCAGCCGCTCTGCCCACAACCACGCCGCGGCTTTGTCACAAACCAGCCGATTCACAACCCCACAACCGCTGCGAAACCGTCATGAAACCGACCAAAAAACTGCCGCACCCCCCCCCCCCCAAAAAAACCCCAGGCCGTCCACGAGTTCCTGCACGGCCGCCTGATCGGCGAGGGCAACCTCCTGCGCCACCTCGACCTGCTGGGCTACAAGCCGCGCTACCGGCAGAGCCCGCTGGCGGAGTACCCTTATGGGGTGACTAATCTGGCGGTGGACCTTCGGGACGGGCTGAGGCTGGTGCGGCTGGCGGAGCTGCTGGCAGGTGGGGGGTCGCCGGGGCGGGGGGTTGGTGGTTGGACGGCGGCGGGAAGAAAGCTGAGAACTGAAAGGGAGTCATCTGCAGCGGTCATACGTGCACGAATCTCCTCGCAGCGCGTGTTTGACCGGCGTCTTGTGCAATCGTCGGCCCCTGCACTTCAGGAAAGGCACCCGCCCTCCCCCCGAAAATCCGACTGGTCCCCCCCGCCCGCGCCCTGGCCGCCCCGGCGACCAGCAGACGGCCCCTCGCTGTCCGAGCAGGCGCGCTTCCCCAGCGACCGCCGCCCCTTGGCCCTCCACAACGTCGGCCTGGCCCTGTCCGCCCTGCGGACCGCCGGTGTCCCGCTCGACGCGGTGCCCACCGGCCGCGGCCTGGCTGCACTGAAGCCGGATGATATCGTAGACGGCGACAGGGACAGGACGCTCGCGCTGCTGTGGGCGGCCGCGCGCGCGCTGCAGCTGCCGCGGCTGCTGCGGGCGGGGACGCTCAGGGCGGAGGTCGCGCGCGTAGTCGCGCGCGGGCGCCGCGGCGGGCGGCGGCGGCTGCCGGGCGGCGGCGGCAGCGGCGGCGGGCCGGCGAAAGGGGAGGTGCCGCTGGCTGTGTACATGAACGATGAGCTCGCGAGTTTGCTGCTGGAGTGGGCGCAGGCGGTGTGCGCGCAGTGGGGCGTCGGCGTGGGCAACTTCACGACGGCCTTTGGCGACGGCCGGGTGCTGTGCCTGCTGGTGCGCGAGTGGGGGGAGGGCGCGCTTTCAGAAGCCGGTCCTGTTTGGATGCAACTGGGGGCCGAGTAAGTATCTGCATGCACCTGGCCTGGGTAATAGACAGAACCCTGGCTTTGGTTCGAAAATGCATTTGACCTGCATGCATGCAAGTGCACACACACACACACACACACACACACACACACACACACACACACACACACACTCTCAGCCACCACCAACACCACCCACCGCCGTCACCAACCGCCGCCAGGTGGCATACTACCTGCCCAACGCCCTGGACGTCGCCGCCGTCTACTGCCCAGACCCCGACGCCGAAAGGGCCGCCGCCGCCGCCGACCTGGCGGCCCTCGCCGACGGCATATCCAGCGACGAGCGCCTCGCCCCGGGCGGCTGGTGCGCGCTGTTCGACGCCGGCGGCTGCGTGCGCGACGCGGGCGCCGCGCGCCACCGCGCGGGCGTCGCGAGGAACTTTGCGGCGGTGCATCGCGCCGCGCGGGCGCTGGGGTCGGTGCCGGAAATGCTGTCGAGCGGCGACTGGGCGGAACATGGGCCTGACGAGCGCGCTGTGATGCTGTACGTGGCGTTCCTCTGCGGCCGGCTGCTGGAGATCAGCCGGGAGGACCGGGCGGCGCACGTGCTGCAGTCGGCGTGGCGGGAGGCGAGGGCGCGGCGCGCGGGTGGG